CTTAATTTTCAAAGTAATGAAATTATTTTAACCCATAAATTAGGTTATATTATAAAAAATGGTAGATTTTTATCGTTGAAAGAAACTCATGATACGATATGTGATCAAAACCATGATATAACTTATATACACGACGCAGTTAATGATGTAAAATTAATGAAATGTATTTTCAATTATGTATGTATTAAACACAATTATCAGAAAATATTAAGTAAAATAATAAAATAATATTGTCTTATCTTTATTGCTATTAGTTCGTAATTAGTTTCATAATTATAAAATATATTAAATTAAACAAGCAATTCTTTTTATAATAATAATAAATAATTTAAATATTTTATCATAGCGAATTTTCAATCTATTAATACTATTTTTTTCATCACCTATCATGAATGCTTATGATACATGGATGGATTTATGCATGGATTTAATACAAATTAAACTACTACATTGCATTCAAATTTGAAAAAGGTAAAACTTATTGAGTAGGTACCTACATGATACTATGAAAGTTAATTGTAAGACCTATGATAAAATATTATAATAATAAATTTGAATTCATATTTTCTATTTTTACCTTATTATTATTATAATTATTACAATCAATGGTCAAATTAATTTTATTAAAATATTAAGTAATATAATAATAAAAGTTTTAATCTATTATCATGCCAAATGTTGAACCAATGAGAAAGCCGTGTTACGTAAGAGTTTTAATTAATGTGCGGAACAGTAATATACATATTATAAAAGAATTTCTTAAGCATCAATAATACAAAAGTATTACCTTGATGTATTCAATCGCCTAATAAATCACTTTGTTTAATACATTTTTATCTATTATTTATTGTTTTACAAAACCAAAAAATATGATTAGTGTATAATAAGTAATAATAATTTATTTGCTATAATTAAAAACCACTTATATATTATCCATTATCCACCATATTATTATAATATGTTCATAAACAACAAATTTAATGATGCTAAAATAAATAATAAATAGTTTTGAGTTAACAGAATTTAGTTTTCTATTGGTAGCCAATTGGGGGCTCTAAGTGATAACTGGAGTGTTCCTTTCAAAGTGTATTATCTGGTTTTTTTTAATAATGAAAATTTATCTTCACTTTCACTGTCACCACTTTCATGAACTATTATTTTATTTTTATTTATTTACTAATTTATTTATATAAATTAAATAAGACTCATCTAAAAAAAAATACCAGTTGGTTAGGTTAAGTGGGTTGGGGGATTGCCTCCTAGCCACCTAGATAGAAGTAATTTGACCAAGTCAAGATAATTTGACTACTATTTAGTATATATGTACATACTAGTGACAGTTACATAACATACTTAGAATATGCTATATTAAAACTATAAGAGGAGATTTCAATACAAAATGACACAAGACACAACATCAATATTTAAGAACTTAAGTTTAAAGAAATAATAAAATGAAAACATAGTATAGTGAACTATGAGAAAAATCAATGATTAGAATCATTTAAAAAGATTACTAGGAGATTAAATTCAATGCTAAATTGCAAAAAAAAAAAATGTCATCATTAAATTGTTCATGAAATAGTAAAGTAAATTATTCATATTAAATATAATAAACTACATTTATCTAACTTTTGAAATTATAACTTAATTAAGGTTATTAACACTAATTCTTAGTCATAAAATAAATTTTAAATTGGTTTGAATGATTGTTGTAAATATAAAAAAAAAAAATAAACATTAAAAATTAAAAAACATTTTAACATTAACATTAAAATGCACATTGATAATGGTATGTATCTAATGTTCTTAGATCTCTCCAAGTTGCTGGGTATCCTTCAAGCTCTATTTTTCCACAAAATTTACATGGTTGTTTGAATATTACTAAATAACTATTGAGCCAAGTCTGTAAACAAAACAAAGATATAAATAATTATTTTGATACTTTTAATTAAAACAAAAAAGTTTTCATTTAAAACTACCATGAATGATCGAATTGAAAGATCTGGCAATGTTGGTGAAAAAAAATGTAACATAGCTGTAATGGCATGTTCAGTTATCTTACGATACACATAATATCTTGATTCTTGCCAAAACTCTTGTTGTAAATCATTAAGGTTAATAGGCTCATCAAATCCTTTAACAATAACCGATTCCATCATAGCTCCTTTGAATGATATAATGGCATGTAAAAGTTTACCTAAGGTAACCTAGATGTAAACAAAATTTTAATTAATTTTTAATATTGAATATATTTACATTTTACTTTTTGAGAAAAATACTTTTGATAAGACAATATTGCATTATTGCATTATTGGATATATGTATATATACATATATTGTATATACAATATTGCATATTACCTATCTACAGTGTCGTAAAAAATACTTTTAAAAAGTATTTAAGTAATTACTCAAATACTTTTAAAATACCACCCAAATACTTTTCAGAAGTATTTGTAATATCTTCAAATACAAAAAAAAAAATCTTTTTAGTTCTGAAATAATTTGTTTATTGCATTTTATAAACATGATTCGTTCAATAACCAAAAAACTGATCAGTCATGTTAGTTCTTTTTTAGTGATAGTTGCACCACAACAATGAACTTTTTCCTACGTAGTTATATATTTTTAAAGCTATATTATATATTTGGATATCCCATGCCGTCATCGATCTTCGTCGACGATAAACGATATTGATAATTGATAACCATTTTATTGGTAAATAGGTACTAAATACTAATAATTAGTAATAATATTTTCGAATTCCGAAATGGTAAGTAGTTATAAATCAAACCATAGCCTTATTTATATTGGACGATAAACTATTTCCTGGAGAAAAAAACATTTAATTGATGAATACCATGATTATTATATAAGCAACATGGTATGGTCGTAAAGTTCCAGATTTGGATCAAGTCCGCGCATACGTCACTTACTTATCCATATTATCATAATTTTGTCTTTCAATTATTACTACTATACATTGCGCTATGTCACGTGCTTACTGAAGGTCTGACCGTCAAGAAGTTAAGATTATACCTTGTTTATATCATAACCACAATGACTTGGTATTTTTATTTAACAAGAATAATAAATGAAAACAAATTAAGAATTTAAATAACAAAAAAAAATTTTCAATAGTAAAAAAAAGTATTTAAAATACCATTCAAATACTTCAAAATAAAAAGTATTTAAAGAAGTATTCAATAATTTTACTCAAATACTTTACAACACTGCTTGTTTATTTTCTAAGTTGTTTTGTATATATTATCTATTTAGTCATTAACAGTTAAAATGGAATAAAGACAGCTAATTTGAAAGTACTTTAAAAGTTTATCGCTCTTGAATGCATTGAAAGTTATACCATAAATGTAGTGGTTTCAATAAAAATTAAAAAAATTTTTTATTTCTACACTAAATGATGAAAAAATCAGATTTTGACCATTATACTTACTAATCAAGTCAGGTTACTTACACATCATTATAACAATTGTAATCAATAGCTAAACATTGGTATTAGTCTTAAGTTTCCCCAATCATTGTAAATCATTATTGTTATGTATGGTTATATAAAGTTGAAGAAAATTCAATAATATTAAGTTTGTTCATCAAAAAATAAAAAATATTTTTACCTACATAAAATTATTTTTTCTAAGTTAAAATTACGATTGCAATCAGAGATCATTGTTATTCATCCCCTCTAGGTTTTACATATTTTTATTGAAATCACAATGTTTTTTTTTTTTTTTTGGAGTTACTTCCATTGCAAAAAGAGCAACAGTCACCAAGATTGAACTAAAAAACTATGAAAAACAAAAATTGGTAGAAGTACGAAACTGCATTTTTCCCATAATATTGCCAACAGTTATAATGAAAATAAATAATATATATTTTTGTGTTTTAGTTAAATTGTGAAGTAGAAAATAAATATTGAAACAAAATTAAATTACCAATAGAACAACATTTGATGCAGAGCGCCTTGTAATTGTAATACTTATATCAGGAAACATCCGACCAATATTAGTCAATAAAACATCAACAGCTCTAAAAATAATTATTAGACATCTCATTAAACTAAATACTTATTTTTATAAATTATTAAAATTAACTAGATATTTACTGTGGTGATATATTATGCAAGCTAGACTGTTGTTGTTTCTTCTTACTCAAACTGGAATTGGAATAAGATTTTTTTAATGAATTTTGTCTTAAAATTTGAACAGCATTTGAACTGATTTTATGTACCTAAAATCATAAAACTTGATTAGTTCAAAACAAAAAAAAAAATTTAATTCAAATCAAAATATAATTAACTATAATTTGTAATACATTATCAAGCCATTTATGAGAAGACAAGAGAGGAGCGTACAATGCTTGTCGATCAGGTGTGCTTTCTTGCGATAAAAATGATGTGTTATGCAATGACATAGCACCTGGAGGATTAGATAAAGACCCAACAACTTCCTCAAGATCCCTAAAAATTAAAATGTACACACAATCATTAAGTTTAGGTAAGCTAGGTAAGTTTATTTTAACAATTATTAAAATGTACTATAAATTAAACTAAACCTCATACGAAATCCAAGTTTTCCAATCATTTCATTCATAGAATACAAGTAATGATTTTGTTTTGCGTGTGTTTGTGAACCGTTATCTTTTACTCCTTCACAAATTTCAATAAAGAGCTGTGTTAGCTCCAATCGTAATGTCTTGACGGTATTTAAAGCAACTTGCATTTGATTCAACTCCATATTTGTATTAGCGTGTATATCAAAGAGGTAGATGTAAAAAAATTAGTATAGTAAATAGTCTTTTTAGTTCAATACAACAGTTTTGAATCAGGTAAAGAAAAGTGAAAACTGTACAGGTTACACCGGTTATTAAAAATTATTAAATCAAGTGTTTATTTGACGAGTTGATAATGGTATCCAGAGCCAGACTTCACGTAGGTTGGGCAACCGATGTACCATCAGCAGGTACGATAGCGCTCCCGGCGTTATTCAACGGACAATAACAATACAACAGGAATGCAGTCCATTTTCTTATGTTTGGTATACAATTTCTTTGGAGGGTTATACTCACACATGATACCAACAACACCGAGCTATGGCCCACAACCATGAATGTTGCCATAAACGACGTATAACTTTATTTGATTAAGGTACAGAATCATTGTCATGACTAAATTGTGTCGAGTGTGCTATGGTATTTTCTTATGTTTGATAACAATATGACATAAACTAATTTCAAAATCTGTATATTGTTAACACTGTAATATGTTGTGTATCTGTACGTAGTACATTATACATATAAAAAAATTTAATATTTACATGAAGTGAATTAGTGATAACAAATATTATATTATATTAAGTTTATAAAAGTCGACAAATCAATGAAATATAGTAATGTATTTTAATAGGTATAAATGCTATAAATTTCAGCGTCTGCAGGTGCAAAAGCAAAAATGTGCACCTGCTACACAATACCAGGAGGTACAAGTCGTGCACCTCAGTAATTACGCCACTGGTCTAGGGTTACTATATTGTTTTTATTTAACTCAAGTAATACAATTAATTACCTACCTAGTAACGATTAACAAATTAAAATTTTTGTAAGTTTTGTCATAAATTAACTACCAAAACACTGTAAAACACTGTGCTTTAGTATATTATAACAACATAAACTAACGGTCTTGATGTAGAATATATACTTTTGTATTGAATTTGCTTAATTACGTTTTCTCAGTAAAAATGGAACACCATCATCAAAAAATGACTTCAAACCTTAAAAATGTCCCAAAAACGACAAACAAATGTTCTAAAAATCAAAAAAGTTAAGAAAAAAACATACTAAATAAAAATAAAAATGCTCATTTCTATTTATATAAAATGCAACTTTTATGCAATTATATAGAAATATATTACTATTATTTAAATATGTAAAGTAATTTTTCCTCAAATATGCAAAAAATGTGACCATAAAATCTACACATTACCAAACGTCAACATGTTGAATCAAATTTATATTAAAAAAATATTCCAAGAAATTATTTAGTATAGAATAGTTTTAAAAAATCAACCATATATGTATCAATTGTGCTTATTATTTTATATTTTTATTTTATACTTATATAATGCTAACTAATATTTTAAAATGTACTAACATTTTTGAGGGAGGAAGTTATGAAGTTCAGTTGTATTATTAAACACAATATTTGAAAAAATCATCTCAGAAAGTCAAAACATGATGACTCATACATAACAATTCATCCCGAAGTCAAATTTATTGAATATGATGTGAGTAATTTACAAAGTGGTTGTGGTGTATGTTAAATGTTTAATTTAATACTTAGGTTAAATATTAAGAAATTACATTAAACACAAATGTTTATCCAATGAGATAAAATTCAAAGGGCCATGGGTTGGTTTCAAATATTAATAATATAAAAGATTAGACAATAACAGGATTAGATGTTGACATGGCAAACGTAAATAAATTATTTAAATGCCTTAGATTTATTGTTCACTCAAAAGCAGATTTAACTGAAAAAGTGAATAAGCAAATATTTATTAATATAAAGCTAAAAAAGATAATTCCATTCAAAACATTAACTTTTAGATTGTTTTTTTGTTTGTAGTACATCAAAAATGTCATGAATGAGTTCATTAATATATACCATACTGAAAAAGCTAATTCTATGGTTGTTTTTATGATGTATTATGGTAAAACTGGAAAAGATTCAACCAGATAATCTGGTATATTATCTGAGGATACCATTACAATAAGTACTGACTGAATGATTAAACAATTTATGCACAACAATTTATCTGGAAATATACCAATGTTATTTTTTATTTATGCTTGTTGGTAAGGTAAAAATATTTTTTTTGTATTTTTGATGTATAATGAATACTTTTACTTATTTTAGAGGACAAAAAAGTGATTTTCATTGGAAATAATGAAGTAGTGAAAATAGTTACTTACAAAATGATGATGCTGATAATATATACGCAGTTGGAATAATTTGCAATAAATGTTATGAAGATGTTTTCATAGCATATGCCACTCTTCGTGGTAAATATACAAATAATTATTATAAGCACAATTAAATATATTATAATGAACAATTATTATAATTTACTTATAAACTTACTCTCTTATCGATAGTTTATTAAATAGCATACATTTTTTCTAAGGTATAGCAAAGGTAGGTAGGTACTGCAATATGTGATATAATAGATGGAAAAAGTTGTGTCAAGTATTTCACGAAAAATCTATTATACTGGATTGTCTAAGTAAGTTTTTTTGTTAATATTTAGTATGTAATTAGTATGAATTTGTATGACCGTTTTTAAAAATGTGTACAAATTTAATTTTCGCCCCATAAACAAGAAACTGGGGCGGTGCTGGAGAAACTTTCCCCCAGCACCACCACAAGAACCGATGGTTGTGATGGCAGTGTGTTTTACTAACCTATTTGTGACTCAATACTATCTCATATACGATATACTTTGTAATAGTGTAATAATAATTACACACTGTTTGCCGGATTCAGTTAGATACTCAAAAAGTAGTATCCTGGGACGCATACATTTAGCTTATCTTTATTCTATATATAAGATACGTACACTGTAAAAATAGAAGAAATACAAGATACTTGATAATCTATATTTTATATTTCAAATTGCCTTGTATAAAATATTATAATTTGTCTATGAAGACTTACAATTTCTTTCATATTTTCAAAATGATATCATTATAGCATAATTACACATCATTACATTTTATCAATAATAATATACCACTACAATTATATTAATAAATAAATAGGTATATCACTAAAATCTATTCATTATTTATAAATTGCATCTCATATTCCCATAAACTTACAGTCATAACAATTATTTCAGTTATTTTTATTTTTTAAATATATATTTACAATTTTTTTCATATTTTCTAAATAATATTACAAATATTATGTGATTTCAGAATATTAAAATATTTTAACCCAGCACCATTGAGATAATAAATAATAATTGTGATCTTCCCTATGCTATCCATCCTTGATCCATTTTAAGTTTTTTGAAAACAAAATCTGAAAAACCTTTGTACTAATAGGTAAGACAATTACTTAGGTAAGACAAATAATTATAAATTCATTTCCATCTATTTAGATACATTATTGGAAATAACTAGCTTAATTACGCGGCTTTACCAGTGTGTAGTTTTTGCTTTCTCTAAATGAAATTCTTAAATCAACACTCATTGTTGTGTTTTAAGGAAGAAAAAAATGTATTTTATTTAATCAAGTGTTAAATAGTAGTAGTAGCTGAATTATAAATCAACTGTGTGTACACGATTATAATTGTAATCTACACTAATATTATAAAGAGGAAAGATATGATTATTTGTTTGTATTGTATAGGCTCCGAAACTACTGAACCGGTTTAAATTAAATTTGGTACATAGACAGTTTAGACATTGCGAAAGGACATAGGCTAATTTTGAATACGAAAAAAATGCTGTAAGGGTGCGAAATAGGGGACGAAATATATTATAACACTATACCCATCATTAATATGATCAATATGAAACAACGTTTGCCTTGTCAGCTTTAATTATTAAAATGTAAAAAATCTCGGTTTTCACCTGAGGTGACTTTTGCCCGAGAGCAACGCCGGGTAGGACAGCTAGTAATAAATACAATTTCATTGTGAATAATATATCACGCGTTGGAGTATTATTAAGAGTATTATATATACCTTGTGAAAAAAAATGAAAATTGAAAGTGTCCATCAACAGTTTCAAACGAGTCAAAATATTGTTAAAAATGTATGAATTATATGAATTGATAAAATAAACATATGGTGTAAATTTTAAGTGTCTACAGTAATTTGTTTTTGAATTACAACAAAGTAAGAAAATCGCTACAAGAGAAATCGAATGAATATACTGCAATGTTGTAAAAATATTAACTCCAAACGCTCTTAAAAATGTAATTTATTTTCCTGTAGAAATTTGTGTTTGATAAAGGTAGACAAACTTGTGAGGAATCTTGTATTAAATTTTAAAATCCTAAGTATAAAAAAAAAATGTATTTAAAAATGAATTTCTAACTAAATATAATTTGCAAATTTTCGTGATTTTTACAAATTTTGTCAAAATTCTAAGTTTAAACGCTCATAAAAAATTATTGCGGATTTAAACTCAACTTTTTTTTAAAACTTTATTCACAACAACTTACAAAGAACTTTGTATTGCATTTCCAACATTTTTGAATAGCCCAAAATTTTTTTATCAACTTTAGTGTAAAAAAAACATAATACCTAATCGAAAATTATTGCATATGCCAATAAATAGTTCCAGATAAGTCAAAACATTTTGCAAATTGTATGCTATATAGGAAACTCTAACATAAATTTTCAGTGAAAATGTCGTGTATCTAAGATTAATTTTTTTTAGAGTTGCACTAAAAACCGAAATTGGTTTTTTCAAAAACCGGTATTGTTCAAAAACTCCCGTTGTTTCTTAAGTTTTTGTTTGTTTTTCCTATTGATTTTGAAAAATATTGGGAACATAAACTTTGACATCTTAAAAAACCAACATGATTTCCTACCACAAAAGTTGGTAGTTTGGTACTACAAGAAATCACGATCACAGACGAACAAAAAAAATATATATATATACACATCAATAGAAAATCAATACAGACATTAAAAATTTGTTACTTTAATGAATTGTATACATATAACAAACAAGTATGTTCTTCAATACTACAAGTTAAATATTTCAAACAGTTTAATTAAAATAATTTTTACAGCTACAGATTGTAAATCTGATCACTACTTACATGAAATAATTTGTACAGTCATATGTTGAAATTGGGTCGCATAATTTACGATAAACCAGTAAAATAAACAATTTGTGTAGGTACGTAAAAAGGTGTTGCCTTAATAAATTGTACAAACAATGAAAAGCATGTTATTTACATGACCCTGCATATTATTTACTAATGTAAAATAAA